AACAAACGCTGCTTCATTTCAAAAAAATGCAGGCCCCGGGATCATGAAGCATCTTAAGCTTAAGTCAAAAAATGCCTTAGATGCTGAATTTTTTTAGAGGTCAAGCAACCCAAAATGAAAATGCCTTCCGATTTTGTATCATCAATCTGCTTTTGTATGCAAATTATGAGTTTCCTTTAACAATTTTTTAAGATTTTTGAAATTTTGACTTACGCAGCACAGTTAAGGTGCGCAATGGAAATATCGACTGAATTTTGTATTTAAAATGTATTTGTAATCGGAATGGCGATTATTTTTAGTACATTATTTATATCAGATAATTGTAATTATGATTAATAACTACATATCGAGGACGAATATATTTTATATTAAGACTAGTCACGTGATGCTGCAGTCAGGCGATTTTATTACATTGACTTGCATTATTGATGTTACATATAAATATCACTAGTGCAAGGGCATAACCAAGTTAAATTTCCAAGTTTATTATATAATTATTTTCAACACACATTGTAGTTTCTAAAAAGTGCTGTGATCCTGTCTAATTTCTGCAATTTCATTGTTACAATTATATTTGTATGACCGAATGCTATATTTTTTGATGGTCAGCGGCATGAAATATTGATATAATTAAATTGTTTTTAAGATTTCATCAGGATCGCAGCACTTTTCAGATACCTTAAAAGTTCTAGAGTTGAAATGTAAAAGCTTATTATGATCCATAGAGAGTATGCCCTTGCACTAGATCGATTTATTAAGACCCTCACATTACCCTCCGGTGTACTTGCATACAAATATACGGCAGTGTCTATTAAATACGTAATGTACAGGAAATATATTAATAAAATAGTTAAAACGACATTAAATTCAAGTTATTGCTCATAGAATATCTGTAAATAATATTTTATTTAATTAGAGAATAAATATTTTGTAGAGAAAATATAACTTGATCTGCCTCTCACTGCATACTAACTACGTCACGTTGTAAGAAATGACGTCATTTTGACAACTGTATTGCGATCAGTGACATGTATATAACTTGTTGTGTGGGATTTAACTAAAGTCAAAACAACACGTTGTAGTAAGTTTTAATGTAGTTGGATCATTTCTTACTGGTTAAATTAGCAAATCAACTCATTTTGTGGTATTTTAAAGAAATGCTGTATGACGTATATTGTGTATGATGTCATAGTCAAGTTTTCCCGTACAAATTAGGCTCCGCCTCCTTTTTGTAACCTTAACTGTGCTGCGTAAGTCTAAGTCTGTTTCATGATCCCGGGGCCAAATCTGCTAATAACTGGGCGCAATCGGTACCCATGGACATTCCAAAGATTATCAGAATGCTTGCTCATAACAAAACCACATAGATAGTGTCAATCAGAATATCGAGCATCTATTTCAGACTTGTGTTAACGATCAACTAATGTTTAACAAAGTAATTAAACAAATGACCAATGACAAGATAAGTGTATTTACAAGTTTCATTTTTATTGAAAAAGCAGCCGTCAGTGATATCAAAAACAACCCTGGACTTTAATTTATCATGGGGAAAAGTGTATAAGGTTAAAAAAGCTTCAGTTTTTATAATGTTTATTTTTGTAAAATTTCAAGATTTCAATGTCCCGAACATTCCTCGGATTCTTTTCGTATCTATATTTGATAGAAACCACTTCTGAAGTGTATTATTGAACAGTACACATGACGTTTCTCTTCAATAACATTTATTTCCTGGAACCTGCAATAATTCATCTTTAACGAAATTTATGAAGTTTCGGAATCCAAGATAGATACAAGTACTGTTGTTGAAAGTCATTTGGTTGATTGAAATACCAAAAATATTCAAAACAGGCATATTATTTTGAAGGATTACCTCTTTAGGAAAGGAACTATGAGTATAGGTATGATAAATTAGTATTAAAATCAAAGATCAAGTGCAGGTATATTTTTGTCGCTTGCTTAGAGTTCTAAAGTTTGATGTTAGTATTTATATATGGTAGATAAATTCCTCTCTTCCTCAGTGTCTGTTATATTTCTGTACTGGCCGGAGGAAGCTGATTACTCATTGCATCAGAAGATGTAGTTAACATTCCGTATGATTGCATCGTTTCTTGTTTTTGACCGCTTCCTTCCTCGGTTGTATCTACCGAGCCGAAAGGAGAGAAGCCTGCCTTTGCGTGTATAACCGCTCTCATCTTCTTTCCCTTGCAATACACAATGGATCCTGAAAGCAAAGCGAGGGTGACAAGGAGAGAGTAGATGGCAACCACAATAAGTATTATCAATATATGATTATCTTCTTCCTTTTCTACTGATTTGCTGACAGTGGGTGTTACTGTTACTATATTTTCTTCTGATTTATCAATTCCTGTTGGTTCTACCTGTATCATTGGCCCTTTATCTGCTATTTTAACAAGAACAGTCGTAATCGCTGACCTTTGTAAAGCAGAATTCTCTGTTACCTACAATGTTGAAAATTTGTTAAGTTTACCTTCGATGAAAAGTATTCCCTATACTTAAATTCCATCTTGTATTCTTTTCTAAATTAATTCTAAGTAATGTTCTATTTATTTCTTTTGGGGATTAAAAGTTATTTTCGTATAAAATTGACTAAATATTTAAGAACAGAGATATTTTTTCTGTCATTTTAGAGATTAAATAAAAATATTACCGTGATCAGTAAAACGGACGTTTGTCGAAGAGCAGAGATTGCAGTCAAAACACCAGTATTAGCATTTATTTCAAAACTTGCATGGTATCCTTCTGAGTCTGAAAAAGGAAGAAAAGCTCTTCAAAAAATAAGATAAACTACTTCCTTTGAAAATTAATATTTTATCATTAGAAATATCTACTTTAAAAACCGACGAGTAATAAGTGATAAACCCAGTTCTCACTTTTTTTCTTCTCATAGTTAAATACTTTGTACATAATTTTGAAACGTTTCTTTATAAATTGATTGAGATGCTACGTACGTTACAAAGTACGTTTTCATTTATTGAAATCTTATCAAGTATTAAGGGACAAACAGAAGAACATTATTGATCGTAAAAGGTCGGGATCTAATACGGAAAGAGGTATAAAACATTACCTTGAATTATACTATATCTCATTGTGTGCTGCTGGTCCAGGTCAACAGCGCTGATAGCTGCCGGCGTAAAATTGGTCAGGGGTCCCTAAGATAGAAACACTGTCAGTTCATATTGTCTATGTTCAACTTGAAACTAGGTAATGTTTCAAACAGTGTAGCGTTTTTAGTAAACTTAAAGACAACATAGCTTTTAACTTGTGAAGCGTAACTCACTCTATGTCCTAAGGGGACACTCGTTGTATAGCACGTTGTACAGTCGATGCCACATTTCGGTATGAATGTTGGAGGCTGGTCATCTTCATTAATAATTGTAAAGTTAAACAAAGCTTTGTCCGTCTTTCCACCCATGTCCTTGAATAAATTTTAAGTATTAAAAACGACATAGAATATTTTTACATCCTCTCTTGGAATATTTTAAAATGCATATGTTTTGTGTGTGTGTGTGTGTGTGTGTGTGTGTGTTTTAAGAAATCTAGAAATTAAATACATGTATGTACTAACACATATTTTTAAATTATCTATTACAGAATTACCGCAACATTCACGTTGATCAGGAAGGTAGGTACCTTGCCGGCATCAACTATTGCATCATAGTCTATAACACGTCGCAGGACAATTATTGGACTACTGATACTTTCCATTTCAAAATATGGCGTTCCGTCAAACTTAAATTACAGACATAAAAGAAAAATAGATCAAATAATGATTAATTGAAGACAGAAGCTATTAAGCATCTTTGACTCAAAGTTGATAATGAAGCAATTAAAAAAAAGAAAGAACCGCCCTAATTATTTTTATTGGTTGCAGTTTGGGACGTTCCAAATTTTCTTTTCGTTCAAACATTGTGCAAATATGCCAACATACCAAACCAAAGTATGTGGTTCTCTAAAGGTAATTAAGGAAAAAGTCCCGTAATATCCAACCCAATACACAATGTTTGTAGGGGCTCTGTGATAGCGAAGTAAAATATATCTCTTCAGTGGCACATACGCAACATACCTCTTCAAGAGCTCTGGAAACGGTATACGTTCGATCTGATGGTCCATCTACATCCCTATCAATGACGTCATTAATAGTATACACCGTCCGTCCTACTGAGGTACTCTAGATTTTAAAATAGAATGAAAGAAAGAAGTTCTGCAGAAATTGTTTTGAAACGATGAAAATGGTAATCATTCCATCCAATTTTTCTTTCGTTACAAATACTTTTACTTTTTGCAAACTACTTAATATACTTAGTTTATTTCATAAGTTTAATAGTTTAAAGGGTTTTGCCACAGAAAATACATATGAGAAGTATGAAAGTCAGAGCAATCTTTTAACCGTTTAAAAGTTATGATCAAAGTAAAAGTGTAGTTTTTTCGTTAAAGTAGGTCAATTTCGAAGGTCAAAAGGTTAAACTTGGTTGTAAAAAAAGAAAGGTCTTGTCACAAGAAATACACTTGTGAAATATCAAAGCCAAAGCCCCACCGACTCTCAAGTTATGAATAAAGTTAATGTTTTTGCAGACGCATGGACAGATGCTCAAGGAAACAACTATATACCCCCGAGACGTCGTTTACGGGGGCATAAAATCAGTTCTATTTTGCTGACAAATGTATTAATTAGCAAGGCTATTATGATGGCTCACCTCTGAAACATTGACATAATAAGTCTCAGCTCGAAACTCCGGTGGAAATTCATTCACAGCCGCCACAACAACTGTCATATCCTTCAAGAACATATACCAATTATTTTAAATTGTCAAATAAAATAATTTAATTCTTAATATTTACATTTGCAAATGTTTTCCTTTATATAACACTACTGAAAGGAATGCGTATCTATAACTGTATAAATACAGGTATGGGGTCAAGAGGTCATAGATGTGCGTATGGATAATCGTTTGACGTAATTTCTTAGTAACGTCATAAAGGGTCGACGCGCGTTCAGTGAATTACATACATGCCGTTGGGTTTGAAAAATAATGCATTTCACACGTTAAAAGTCACAATTAGGCAAATATAAAGTATGAATTAGTCACAAATGTAAATATAAGTAATAAGGTATCATTTTTAAACATCTATCGGGCTATAAATACGGGTCGGTACGAGATTAAATTCATCATAAAGCCCTTCGGGCTTTATGGAATTTAATCTAGTGACCGACCCGTATTTATATCCCGATAGATGTTTAAAAATGATACCTTATTTCTTAAATAATCCCTGAAAATATTTTAAACTGAAAACTAGATTAAGGCACTTTTATTTCCTTTTTGTCAAACAGTTGATAAAATGGAAAAAAAAGTACTGCAGCTGGAGAGCGGTTAAAGGATATTAGTTATAACAGTAAACTGTGTGAAAAATTTTTAAGCAGACATGAAAAATTTTTTTTTTACCCCAGAAGTCTATCTCGAGACTGAAGTTCGACTGGTTTGTACTTATAACAAAGGATTGCTTAATTGTATGTTGTGTACGTCCCTCTCGAGAATTCATTCACCGGTGAAGGGCTTCAAATTTTGACCTTTACTAAGTACTCAAGGCCATTGAGCAGTGCGGAATCATTTTGAAAGTATTTCACAGAAATATCTATTTTTAGTAACTACGTTAATCGAAACCTACTTTTGAGAACGTCAAGTCCAGTGGATAATATTTCAAATGGGACTCAGTATATCTTTAATATTGTATATGTATATGTTGTATTTGGTAGGGGAGTATTACGTTTATTATACAATATCTCTTCTAGTTAAGTTTACCTAAATAAATGATTGCGTAATATAATTTATTTTATTGTATTTTAGCCAGAGCATATGCTACACGCATACTACAAATTTCGGCCATCAATTGGGAAAACCACTTCAACCAGTACATCTTTACATGTACATGTACTATCAAAGATTCCAATTCGTCCAAAAGTAAGAGAAATAAATGGAATTAGGACCGAGGGGGAAGAAATGTACCACAATGACAAAGAGGTGAAAATAGTGAACATAAGGATGGGACTTATACAAACTTTTTTTTATTTTTTGTATAACAATGACAATGGTGGTACTAGGTCATAATATACAAAATTATTAATTTCCTGTATTTTTTCATGCATTATACTGTCTTGTATAAGTCTTCTACTAGTCAAGTCATGTCTGAGCTCATAATACAACATGATATTATTGTTTTATATGCTTGCAATGAAAGTCCAGGTAATATTGTTTCATAAAATTTGTACAATATTCATATTTATACATATTGTATAATCTGGAAATGTTATTGGAATAATTTTATCGTTAAACTTGAAAATTTGACAGAGAAAAGATGTACATTGGCAATTCGGGCAGAATATTTTCAAAATGGCTCACCTCTTTTTTTCTAAAACTTTGACACATTGATTGATGGATTGTTTTCATATTTCGTGTAAAACCTATGAATTTTTTTCTTCCATTACTCTGCATGTAGTAACATATGTGAAAGGATTCATTTTTCTCATATCTTATTGTTATTCAATGGACTATATAGGTGGCATTGTTTGGACGTACATTGTGAAACATTAACTTTAGTTCTTTTTTTTTTTAGAAATGAAAGTTGTTCAAGTATATATAGATCATAAAAATTGTGTCATGTTAATTTATTTAGATTGTTTTATTGAAATGTAAATGACGATAATTTTATAGAAGTTTTAAAAATGAAAATTTTGCAGAAAAGCTGATCAGAGGAAATTCGGACTAAATATTTTCAAAATGGCTCCACTCTTTTTTTTCTGAAACTTGGACACAATAATTGATTGTTGTTATAGTTCATGTAAAACCTATGCATTTTCCTTATTTGCATTACTATGCATATTGTAAAATATGTGAAAACAATTCTTATATTTCTCATATTTCATTGTTTCGAATTATTGGAAAGTATAGATGGCTATGGAGGACATTTAATGAAACATTAACTTTTTTAATTTTACAAATGAATACTGTTTATCGATGACGTTAATGTTGAAATGTTAATTTTTATTAAATATCTGTTCTAAAATTCAAAACAACATTTTTTTAACAAATTCTAAACTGTGCTTGTGGCGCCACCTATATGATGTTTAATTTTTCTACACTAAGTTGTGGATCTTAATCAAATTTAAAAAAAAAATAGACAGAGTAATGGAATCTGAAAAAAAACAATTTATTTTCATAAACTATTACAACAATCAATCAATTTGTCCAAATTTCAGAAAAAAGAGTGGAGCCATTTTGAAAATATTTAACCCGAATTTCCTCAGATCAGCTTTTCTAGTCAAAATTCTCATGTTTACGACTGCTCTAAATTTGTCTTCATTTATAATTCAATTAAAAAAAACTTAAATTCAAAATGAACTAAGTGCAATATTCTATAAACAATATAATACCTAATTCATCGTTCACCAATTTTTAAGTTGGTGTACGGACTTTATTTTTAAGGAAAATATTACACACAGTTACCTTCCTTACTAGAGGGCAAACGGTTACACTCTTTTTATTTATATTATAATCATGCATTGTTAATGCATATGTATATCCATTGATACCAAAATCATTTGTTGTCCATTACTTTGATTTCACACTCATACTACCTAAATGTCCTATCAGACGGACATAAAATTTAAAATAATTATGTAAACTGTAAAAAATAAGCATTGATGCATGTATTTCTCATTAAAATTTATCCATTGTTTCTAAATTTTGTTGAAAAAAAATCAGTTTCTTGTGAATATTTCAAAAATGTTTTTCCATTACCATTTGTTAAAAGTTCATACATTATTTTCATATTACAAAATAGTCTACTCCAAAATGGTGAACATTCCCAAAGAATATGATTTATAGTTGTATATATGCATGGACACAGATTTGAAGTTGATATTTTCTGTATAATATTACCAGTTATTTATTTTTTATAGCATTTCAAACCCAAAATATATTGAAAATCTTATTTCATCTAATTTAAGTTATTTAATCTTCAAATTTTTAGACAGGTGTGATTGACACATGCTTGCACTTTCACAAATTTAAATTATTCTCAGTTCTTATAAAAAGTGGCAATCTTGTTGTGTATTAGTGAAAAATATTAAAACTTTAATCCAGAAAAATATTTATATTCGGAGTAGAAATGTTCGAAAGCAAAACATACACACAGTATTTGTCAGTCCGTGCAGTTGTGGTGATCCGACTTTAACAATTGAACGCACCAGGTGAATCGCAAACAGAGCTCGTGCCCTTTTAACAAAAACTGTGTACATTTTACGGATGTGATTAATTTGCTTAACTCTGTTCACAACACTTTGCGTGGAATGACAATACTTGTGAAGGGGTTTTGCTTTCAAACATTTCTACTCTACATATAATTATTTTTTTATAACTGAAGTTTTAATATTTTTCATAAATGATTTTCTTCTAGAATACAAGTCTTCATACTGCATATTAAAAACACAATTATAAGCAGGATAAGTAGATTTTGCTTTTATAATTTATCAAATTACCATACATGAATGGAAATAATATATAAGCATAACTTCAACATACTATTAAAGATGTGTCGCATGTTACTCGTATTTTGATAAAACTGACAATCAGCTGAAAGAGAGAAAAAATAGGAATCAAACTTTCTATCTTCATATATATATATATATATGTATATACATGTATATCAAAAATTATCATTTTGTTCACTTTCTAACACTTACCCCAATTACTAGATTAAGAGATTCCTTGTCAATTGCCTTTACAACGTTGATCCATACTGAAGCATTATTCCTGCCCGAAGAAAAGTATTCTTTAATCTTTTGCTGGTTTTCAAAGCTGAGACTACCTATTGGATGGCCTGATACTTCAATTATGGACCAAGAAAACACAACATCGGTAGTGATAGAATTATTGAGTATATTGCCTATAGAAGAAAGGAAGATATATGGAATAGAGAAATGAAGTTGCAAAACTGTAGCTCTCTGCTTGAAAAACAAGAGGCCCACGGGCCTTATAGGTCACCAGAGTATCCAGTAACAACTTTCAAACAATTGAATTCGATTCGTGTTTTTAACCAGAGGCCATGAAATTCACAATTTTGAAAGAGGCTCATCATAATTATAAACTTAGCATGGTTACTTTGGTTACTTAATACCCAAAGGTTGATCAGAGTAACAAATAGAAAATGCATTTCCACTTCTAACCAGTTGTGCACCCCATCTCACAGAAACCACCTACCCTATTTCAAAATTTTGGACATTTTTTCATGAATTTTATTTCATCATTGTTGATTGATACCAAAGTAAATACTTTAAAACATTTATTTATTTAATGACTATGTACCTTCTCCCTCCCTCCAAATACCTCTTACCCAGGGGCCCGGAAATTAACCATTTTGGAAGAGGCAGCTTTCTTCATCATAAATATGTACTTTGATCATTGGCAGAATACCCAGGAGCAAAGAAAGAGATTTTTTAAAAATTCATGCATTTTCATTATATATACATAAGAGCCCTGCCCTATCACAAGAAGCCCTGATCCAGGGACCCTGAACTTTACAAATCTCAAACAGGCATCCTTCCTCCACATAACTTTGTACATAGTTCATTGGTTTAATACCCTGGCGCAGAAAAGATTTTAAAAGAAATAAGTTATTTTCACTAACATACGTGGTTAGGTTATAAAATGCCTATTAAGGATACACCAAAGGCTTTTTCCATTTTTTTTTGTAAATTTTGAGATTTTTGGCTAAGAAAACAATGCAAAGTTTTACTGCTTTATAATGCATGAAAAATTCTTGCTGATTATTGAAGGTTTTTCTCAATATTTAACAATAATCAAACATAAACACCAACACATGTGAATGTGTCGTTATTGAAGCTTCTGTAAATCACTGTGACCACTGGGGGGAATTCTTCATTAGCCACACAGAGGCTATCAGTAATTAAACTACAGGGACTCTAGGTTTTGGGAAAGAGATTTAACAGGTCACTTATGACCATGAAATAGGAGGTGGAGCTTAGCTCTTGCCATGTTGCCGGGAAATCTTTCTGATTCAGAATTGAATCTTTTTTACGTCATTAAAAGCACCTAAATAAAGAATAGAACCTCCCATTCTTGCGAATATGCATAGGAAATAAGTGACAGGTATCCAAAGCTGAATCTCCATGGTGTCATATATTTCTAGCTTTGGCAGACTCTGTTGTGTAATGGGTTTCTTGCCCTCTACTGTAAATTAAGATCAGACGGTTGGTGGTATTATTTCAAAGGATTCAGCTTCCTTATTTATTGACAAATTTCTCTGAAAACTGGCCAGAATGCGTCTCAAATGTGTGTTCACAAAACCGTATTTCAGATTTTTGATATATTGCTCAGTTCTCGAATTATTGGGGAAATGAAGAATTGGGCTAATAATTTGGCAACATTGAAAGACAAATGGATGTATCTTTTAAATAAGAAGATTTATCAAAAATCTAAGATACGGTTTTAAAGTTCAATCTTTAATCTACATGAGGTAAAATTTTTACTTAATTTAAGAGGTGGAATACAAAAAAGTTGATTTATAAAATATAAATGCTCTAATATTTACATTAGAATATTAATAACTTTTGAATATACATGTAATAGAAATGAAAATTAAAACTAAAATCATTAAATAGTAAATTTAACAAGCTTTAAATTGATATATATTTTTAATTTGTTTTCTTTGTTAATGAAAGAATTACAAAATTAAATTCTACCCTTTGGAAACCTTTGGTGTATCCTTAACAGCGAAGAAGAATTTCATATATAGAATTTATGCAATTATAAGACACCTGAGTAAACTCAGTTGACGTATTTCTATCTCTTTTCTTCCGTCGCGTACGTCGCCCGTCGTGCGTCGGTCGTAAGCTTTTGAACATTTTTAGCTTCTTCTCTGAAACCCCTCAACTAATTTCAACCAAATTTTGTATACAGCATCTATGGGTGAAGGGAAACTGGAACCCCTGATCATGGGGCCATGGATTTCACAATATTGGTAGAAGAATTAATGTTGACTACAATCATATCAACAGTTTGACTGCTTAATGTCCAGGAGTAAAGAAGATCTTTCAAGCCGCTTGGTCCGATTCTAATCGCATAAAAAATATATTCGTTTTTCTTCTTGAAAAATAATTGTCCATAAATTGTTTCAACTTTTGTCAAATTATATCCCCAAAATCTTTTTCTTTTAAAAGATATCAAAATTCAGAAGTTCAAAAAAAATTTTTATTAGGTCACACAAAAATTAATCTTATGTTGATATCGCGTGAAGAAATAACATTCGAAAAATTAAATTTATCGCTTATATTTTATGAAGAACAAGCCCGAGCATTTTTTTTACAACAATGTACTTAAACCTGAACACGGACAATATTTTAGCCTTCGTTACTAATCTTCCTTTAATAAAAAACTTTAAAAATATCTTATTTTCATTTAAATATGCATATGATATAAAGATTACTATGGATACAAATGTATATTCATTTTCTTAATTTTCAAAAAATATATGACTAAGGCTCTACTAATGGAAAAAAATACTCGGGTTTGGATTATCTTCATAAAAAGATATAGCCGATAAATTTATTTTTTTTCAAAGGTGACTTCAAAACAGATCATAACTTCCCGTCAGGAATTTCTGTTTGTCAATAAAGTTTTTGATCTATGTTTTCCTTGTGAGGATTGTTGTAATAAACTATAAAATCAATCTTAGGGATAATTTATTTTTATATGTTATCTATGTAATGACGTACTTTTATTGTGCAAGATAAAATGTGCTTGTTTCGGATTAAGCGGCTTTAAAGATTGCAGTGGTTCTGCCGCCACCCCTTCCCCAGGCGGGCAAGGCCCATGAAATTCACACCTTTTGTTCCCCTTCATCCATATATGTTTTATGCCAAAACTGGTTGAAATTGGTTGAATGGTTTCAGAGAAGAAGATGAAAATGGTAAAATGGTAACGCATGACAAACGACGACGGACAAAAACGGATAGCAAGAGGTCATCTGAGTTTTCAGATGACCTAAAACATCGGACAGAAAAAGAAGAGCTACAGATTCAAACGCTCTAATAACCTTCAATCTAATGCTACCATATCTTTGTCCTTGCTTCAGGTAGCGTTGTATTATACGCCCCCCCCCCCCCCCCTCTATGCTTTTAGAATTGTATCCGAGAATTTACCATATATTTTACTCCTGTTTCTGATATTTTTTACCCTTCAACAATCATAAATAGCCCTTTATGGTTATTCCCATTCTAATGTCTATATTGGACAACGCGCGAAAAAACCTTTCAGAGAAAAAATCAGAATTGAAAACTCGGTTAGTAGAGAGAAGTAAAATATTTGATAAATTATCGGCGGGGATACTTTAATTAAAGCGGAAAAGCATACAATAGAATAAATTACTTTGTTTACCTTAAGCAAGCGACAAAAGAGAGGGTGGCGTAGATCAAAATATTTAACAGCGCTTGAATCTGAACCTCTCTTTTTCTGTCCAAATAATCTCAAGCAGATAGCTTCAGTTATGCAGCTAAATGTTAGGTAAAGAGGTAACACCACCAAAAAAAATTACATACCTGTAGCATCTTCCTTTATCTCAATAAAATTTGGAACATCACAACCCCCTGAAATAAAAATTAAACAAAACATGTGTTGTATGTTGTTATTCTTTATAAATGAATTTTGTTCTTGTTTAACAACCCTTTCGAGAGCAGTTTTCACTCATAAAGAGATACTGACACTTGCTGGTGGAAGTCTGCTGCAAATTTTGTTTTATATGCGGCACTCAAGTCATTCAGCGGTGAGAATCTAAAGGCCAGTGTACACGATGTAATTTGTAGTATAATGCAAGTATTATAATACTTTCCAGTACTCACGCTAATACATTTCTTGTAAGATTGTAAATAAATTACGTATTCCAACGTGTTTTCCCCGCCATATTTTTCTTTCTGTCGAAGTAATAAAAATGGAGGATGAGGCTCTGATAGCAGTGTCAATCATCGTACTATGCACAGCTTGATTTATTTAAGTCCTTTTCCCCTTCCCATTAAGCCAAGAGTTTCTCGATTTCTTTACTTGTAAAGTCGACCAATATTATTTACCATGGCCTTTTTTTAGTAAGGATAAAAATAGGATGATCCCTAGTGTCATTACGTTTCATTGGTTGAAAGTGATAGGTAAGTTAAGACTTGTATTAGGAAACAGAGCATTGCTCAATTTCTTAATACAGTTTTACAAGATTCGAAAAATCTAATGATACACTGTATTAAGAGTGTATACACGTTAAGATTTTGAAGTATAATACAAATCTTATAATAGAAATCTTACCATGTATACCGGCCTTTACTCGTGACAGCATTTAATGCTCGGTTTAAGGCCGGTTTACACGGTAAGATTTGTATTATAAGATTTGTACTATAAAACAAAATCTTACTGTGTATACACTCTTAATACAGTGTATCATACGATTTTTCGAATCTTGTAAAACTGAATCAAGAATAGGGCAATGCTCTATTCCTTAATACAAGTCTTAACTTACCTTTCATTTTCAACCAATGAAATGTACTCCCATTGGGGGTCATCCTATTTATATCTTAACTAAAAGAAACACATGGTAAATAATAATGGCCGACTTTACAAGTAAAGGCATCGAAAAACTCGTAATTTTAAGGGAAGGGGAGTTGTGGGCTATATCAAGCAGTGCATAGTGTGATGATAGACACTGAACCTCATCTTCCATTTTTATTATTTTGACAGAGAAATAATATATGGCGGGGAAAACAAGTTGGAATACGTAGTTTATTTACAATCTTAATGTATTAGCGTAAGTACAAGAGAGTATTATAATACAAAATTATCATAATACTTGCATTATACTACAAATCTCATCGTGTATACCGGCCTTTATATACGTTCTGATACGGCGGACGGGTTTTCACTTCACATAGGGGCTTTAGGGGGAAATAATTATGTAAAGTAAAGAATTTTGTATCTTAAAATTATGGATATCTTCAATATGGTAAACATCGGTAATTTAACGGTTAAACGATTTTCATACCATAACCGGAAGTCAAGTTTGAGTCTGCTTTACGAAAATAAAAAATTGCATATTTAACAAAACATTTGGCAATATTATCGAGTTTAAAGGGTTTTTACTGTTCATCACAAGTAATACAGCAATATTTCAAAAAATAAACTCTCCTTTCGTTTCCCGTAAGGATGCAAAGGCTTCTTGAAAATGGCTTAAGTATGCATTTTCATCGCTCTAGCTGGAAAATTTCAATGTAAAGGTGATGGAGAGTTGCTGATGCAAAAATTTACTACATTTCGCCTCAGCAGGGTCTTACGTATCATATGCATTAAGGACAGTACTTGTACTGGAAGTCCAAAGGTGGCTACACTGTTCTAAGATAGAGAAAATTCGACCTAATCATCTGAAAATCGGGCATTTAAAAATGGCTAAGAATAATTCCTTCGCTCACATCTCGATATTGATGAACCTATTGTATCGTAGAAATTAAGCTTCAATTGTTGTTTAGGGCAGTCTTGCACGTTTTACTTGAATGGCTGGGAGGGGGTGTTTTAACAGTCATAATTGTTTCTTAGTAAAGTAAAAAGATAATCATTTAACATTTTTATCAAATCTCTGATGTTCTGAAAAGTGAGTTTAGCCTTACTGTATTCATTTTTGAAAATAATTAGATTTAAAAAATCAAACATTTGTATATTACTGCTTGTTGTGTTTCTTTTGCGTTTCAGTATATATTGTTCTGTTGGGTATGAATTTAATTTAACAACAGTTTTTGCAAAAACCTATGACATCACAGGAGAGTGGATTTCCTTAAAAACAACATTTAAAGTATATGTGATATTTTTAAACATTGTTTCAATCTCTTTAAATAAAGAAGGAATGTTAACGTTATCGTCCGCGGCGTAGTAATACACAGTGTAAGACAGAAAAATCTCACACTGCTTCTCACACCGAACAAGTAAAACTAAGACTGGTAATTATGCAAAAAGGAATATCTAAATTTAAGATATTCTCAGTTTACAATGCATAGCAACTCTCAAATACACAATTTATTATAAATAATAAGTTTACCTGCACAATTCTTCCCTTTAAAACCTTCGTTACCTTTGCATTTATAACCTCGCGATCGTGTAGACCTGGCTTGTAGAATTGCCACATACACGGCCCAAAAAAAACCAAGAAGTGTCTAAAAATTAAAAGTAAGAACAACATTCTAATAGAAAAAATCAACAGCTTGGGTTTAATAATTGGAAGAACATTGTTTCATTTCTAGCACATCACCAAGCTCAATTCATATTGTATGCCTTCCTTGTTGGAACAACAAACACAGATTTGTCTATTTTACGAAAAATCACAATCCATCATCATTAAACTGCCTTTAAGTCCTTAAAGGTTTCTTTACATACCTTTCTTTGAGGACAGTCATGATCTGCTTTGAATAATTACATACTTCGTCTAGAAAAAAATGTATATACAGGCTTTGAATATATCATTTTCAATGAATGGACAAGATGTATAAAAAAACATCAATATTTTAACAATTATGTTAAATGTCGTTGTGTTTTATTTAATATAAAATGGTTTTAGATAAGGTTTTAAGAATGTCTTATTCCTAAGAGCAATTACATGTAGCTTTAATTATAGTATAAGAATTTTTAAAGGAATTAATTTAAAATTTTAACGTTGAACATTCCCATTCATTAAATATTTAAACTAAGCATGTCTACTTTTTATGAAACAATAAAATATTTTTTTTTTATTGAATTGACTAAAACCATGTCTAGTCCTTGGACACTAATAAATAGTTTCAATTAATTTAAATAATTACATGTATGTGAAATATCTTAGCTTTATCACTTACCTTTCCTGTTTCCATTATAGGCGTTGTTTAAGAACAGGCTGTGAAGGTAGGTATCAAGTCTCTATTTAAAAACAATTGAATTGCGTTAAGATATTGGAAATTATTATAATAGGCTATTTTTGTTATTTCATTCTAAGACGTCCGTATGCTAACGTGATTCATTCACTGATTTAAGATGTTTTACTATTTTTTATTAATCAATGTAATGTTTTACAGAACATTTACGATGTAAAGTTTATTTAAGCTGATCTAATTCTATGCAAATTAAAATGAATAATAACTAATGATAATTATCTATCAAAGAAAAGTTTTGCAGAAATAAGGTAACTATCACTGATAGTTTGAAAATAATATACCCCTCTCCCCCCCCCCCTTTTTTTTTTTTTAAAAAGTAACCTCAGTGTGTAGCACCATTATATCGACATTGTGTGGACTTTGTATCGACCAAAGAGTAAAATGTTTAAAACCAGAATCCAAAGTTCTGTTTTCTTCAACAGTTGCATTATGGTGTCAAGAGTATAAACCAATTAATTAGGTATACTTTTGTTAAACAAAGTTTAAAACATAAATATTAAATTAAAAAAATAAATTAAATAAAGCCAACCTCCTTTATACATGTATTAAAAAATAACAATCGGAAGTATAAAGCTTTTGTAAGTTTCCATTCTAATTGTTAGCCCATTATTTACACCATAATTATCTACGGATATTTAAATTTAACCGATTTTAACAACGAGCACACTGCGAATGTGACCAATCTACAATGGATGTCTATTTCTCCATGGTACCTGATCTAACCTCTGATGTTGTAGAAGGTCCTTTATTACGCTGCTTCCGATTTATATTGTTTAGATGGACTTTAAACTTGATATATCTTCGTAATTCCCATATCTCGGTTAACAAGATATATTCTATGTCTAAAGGGCAGGAGGGATGTGACGGGCAATGGTAACCCTGTGTAGGAGGGATGTAAACTCAAGATCACCAACACAGTTGTAGGACAAGCTGGTTAAACACACCATAGTGATTTTTGCTGAGTGCTGCTTACCATGTATCTTTATCTCTCTATTGAACAAAACTTTTCTAACAGCAATTATCAATATAAAAAAGATATGGCTTACTTCAGATTTCTAAGGGATTTAAGGTACAATTTCTGTGGTTATTACAACTACGCTCGGTTACTTGGCCAGCACTGTAATTTTGTGTAAAATTAAGATTTCAAGGTTAAATTAAGTTTTCAAGGTAAATTTAATTCAAGATTTAAGGTAAAAATCTTAAATATCAAAATTTTAAAACCTGTTGGGAAATCTGAAATTTGTCAACTAATATATTAAATTTCAATATACCAAATCAGTATGAGTTCTTGAAATTTAGATATTTTAAAAAATATATTAACATATTGAAACTCAAAATCATTTTAGAAAATTGAATTCTTAAGTGTTACACGGACCAAAATCCATTATTGGTGTCAGGCGTCCGATCTAAGCTGGATGATTAATGTAAGATTAGGTGAAAGGGAAAAAAGATAAAAAGAATTACTCTGACATAGAGGGTTAAAACTACATCAAGCATAACTATTTAAAAAAAAAATAATGAAGTACATTTCTTTTAAAATGAACTTGTCTCAAAGATTACATATGGGAAGTATGAAAGCGCTGGCCCTCACCGTTAAAAAGTTATGATCAAGGTTAAAGTTTGTAAAAAGGTCAAACTCCAAGGTCAAAGGTTCTTGATATCCAATGAAAGGTCTTGTCACATGGATTACACATTTGAAATATGAAAGCCCTAGCCATTGCCGTTCAAAAGTTATGACCAAGGTTAAAGTTTTTTCATAAGTACAAAAATCTCCAAGGTCAAGGTTAAAAGGTCAAAATTGATGGTTTCAAATGAAACGTCTTGCAAATAAGAATTGATATTTTAAATATGGAATTCTTAGTATCTACAGTTTAAAAATTAGGGTCAAAGAAAAAGATTGGAATTCTTGTGTAAAAGTCAGTCAAAGGTCAAGGTCAAAGGGTCAACGTTCTTGGTATAAAATGAAAGGTCTTGTCACAAGAAATACATATGTGAAGTATAAAAGCCCTAGTCCTAACCCTTCCAAAATTATGGTCAAGGTTGTATTTTTAAAGTAGGTAAACCTCCAAGGTCAAGGTCAAAGGGTCAAGTTTCTTGGTATCCTATGAAGCGTCTTTTCACAAGAAATAAATACGTGAAGTATGTAAGCCCTAGCATTTCTGTTCAAAAGTTATAGCCAAAGTTAAAGATTTTTCATAAGTACAAAAATCTCCAAGGTCAAGGTCAAAAGGTCAAGGTTGTTGATATCAAATGAAAGGTCTTTCCACAAACAATACACATGTCAAGTATTAATGTCTTAGTATATACTTTCAAAAGATATAAAAGCAAAAATTCAAAATTTTTGTGTAAAAGTGGGTTAAACTCCAAGGTAAAGGTCAAAAGGTCAAATATGGTGGTACCCCAAAAAAGGTCTTGTCACAAAAAATACATATGTGAAGTATGAAGTCCCTAGTCTTTACCCTTCAAAAATTATGGTCAAGGTTGTATTTTTAAAGTAGGTCAAATTCTAAGGTCAAGGTCAAAGGGTCAAGGTTCTTGGTATCCTATGAAGTTTCTTTTCACAAAGTTTACATACAGGACGTATTTAAGCCCTAGCACTTTCTGTTCAAAAGTTA